TTCCCCCCTTTCCTATCAAGATTCTTGTGCTTCAGTATATTTTATTTGGGTTTTTAACAGATCTTGCTCTTGTGTATAGTGAGTTTTATATGGGTTTTGTGTTTGTTTGCTAGGTGTTTATTATTGAATCGAAAACTCATGAGACAAGGATGGTTGGTGTTTTTGGCTTGATTTGATGTTGTTGATTTATATTATGTTTTAATCTTGTTATGGTTTGTGGTCTGGATTTTTCTTTTTCTTTTTTTGTTTCAATTGCTTGTCTTTATTTTTGCTTCCTTGGAATCCCAGGGCTTGGGTTCGAAGGAACCCAGGTGTTGGGGTTCAAAGGAACCCAAGCCCTGGGTTCCTTCGAACCCAATGGCAGAAAATTAAAAAATTTCTTTTTTTTTTTTGTTTTGTTTGTGAGTTTTGTTATTTGATAATAATAATGAAGCCACAAGGGTAGAGATTAGTTGAGATGTTTGGATTTGCAGAAGTTGAAGAAAAAGAAAGGAAAAGAGGAAATGGAGGAACAAAAAAAATAAAAATTTGTTGGAAAGAATCCAAGGTGGATTTGCTTACATGTTAAAAAATATCCAAGTTGATGTTGATATGTAAATTTATAATGGAAACAATGATACACATATAGCACGTGATCGTTTGACGTTAAATTTTACTTTATCTCCTCAAATTAAAAATTATGAAGGGTAAAAATTTATATATTAAAATATGAGGAGTAAAACACCTCAAATTCAAAATCTTTAAAGCCAAACGGTTACCTTTTGCCACAAAATTTCTATTAAAAATTTCAACCATAACAAACGGTCCCTTACAGTACCATACGCAAAATAATTGGCTTTATTTTGTTCCGTCTGGACTGGCGCGATAGACTGTCAACTTTGGACCAGATCAACTTTACCAAACTTAACCCTTCCTTCGCTCTGTTCCTATTGACGTCTCGTCTCGCAACATCCCTTGTTTCCTCCTGCAACCTTCACGATCAGGTAAATTTCCTCTATATACCATCCTAATCGGTTGCCCAGATAATGAAAAATGCTGGGAACCCAAAGATTTTTGCTGATTTTTTGTGGGTCGTTTAAGGGTTCAGAGTAACTTTTTTTTTCTTGCATTTTCTGGGAAAAGAGTAGTTTTGGGTTGAAATTTGGGATGTTTGGATGCAATGGGAGCTCGTTTTTAGCTGAAGATTTTGTGATTAACTTTCCTGTTGACTCTCAATTCTACATTTGCTCATATGTTCTATCCCTAGTGATGCATTATTGCTTAATAAATGCTGATTAGGCTTTGGAGTAGGATTCAAGAAGCTAAAGTTGAAAACTTTTGATTATTCACTATCAATCAACCCATTAGTAGCTGCCTTTTACTTTGTAGCTGTTGAAATGACCTCTGCATCAATGTTGAAATGTTGTTTTGCTTCTTAAAACACTTTGGTGTAGTGAAGGTTGTTTTGTGTTTGTGAGTGGGTCGAAGTTTGGACAGTGATGGATCATTGAATTCAATGTATGTAAGTGAATCTGTCATCGGACTGAGATGGATATTTTCCTGATATTTCAGGTTGAAGTATTATGTTAGCGGGATGTGCAGTAAGGCAGCTTTGTGATCTTTTAAGGTATGCAGTTCGGACCTCTTTCTTTTTTTTCGAAATCTGAAAATATGACATTGATAGTTCTCATGAAATTTCTGTGTATCCTTAGATTTTTATTCCCTTTTCCTTTCTTTCTCGTTACTACTCAATGAAATGAAATTATACTAACTGACACATCTGAAGCAGTCAAATAGTGTGCATAGTATCTCATTAACATGCTGAACTTCTGGCTAAGATGCATTTGGATTTGGACCATTTTGTTTAATGCAATTACCTTATATGCAGTGATGCTTAAGTTGTTATTGAGGTGTAATTTGCTCATTTTTGGTACTTTAAGATGGGTATATTTGGATGTTTTCTTATCCCTTTTGGCTTTAGTTAGTGTTTGTTCTGATTCTGTTTGCTAAACTGAACTCTCAGTAATCAGCTGATTTGTAATTTGAAAAAATGCAGAGCTATTTAAAGCCATATCTATTCATTATAACAACTTTTCTGTTTTTGGTCATTCCATCTTCTGCAAAGTTGCTTGAAGTTACCACACTTCTGATACTTACCAGATGGCATTGCAGGTTGTCTGATAGTGGCACTTTTATCAAAGGAATCCAGTGCAATTATCCATTGATTCTTGAGTAGCTATGCTACCCACAGGAGTGAAAGATACCCAACTCCGCGAGAGCAACAGCCAAAAAGTCCACCCTCAACCCATGGAAGAGACCAATAATCAGAATCCTGAAGCCTTCGAAGCCCTGATATCCAAAATATTTAATAACATTTCCTCCCTCAAGTCGGCTTACATACAGCTCCAAGATGCTCACACTCCCTATGACCCTGATAAAATCCAAGATGCTGATAAGCTCGTAATTTCTGAATTGAAGCATTTGTCTGAGCTCAAGCATTTTTATAGAGAGAACAACCCCAAGCCAGTCTGTGTTTCTCCTCAAGACTCTCGCTTAGCTGCTGAGATCCAAGAACAACAGAGCTTGCTGAAAACCTATGAGGTCATGGTGAAGAAATTCCAATCTGAAATTCAGAATAAAGATTCTGAGATCGTTCAGTTGCAGCAGCAAATTGAGGAGGCAAACCAGAAGCGAGTGAAACTAGAAAAGAATCTAAAACTTAGGGGCTTGTCTACCAAAGAATCTGAACTTTCTACTGGCAAAAATGGATTTTTTCCTGTGGATCTGACCACTGAGCTCTTCACCTCAACTGTGGAGGCTGCTTACAAAGCCATTCATGATTTTTCAAAACCATTGATCAACATGATGAAAGCTGCTGGCTGGGACCTTGATGCTGCGGCTAACTCAATTGAGCTAAATGTTGTTTATGCCAAGAGAGCCCACAAGAAATATGCGTTCGAGTCTCACATATGTCAGAGAATGTTCAGTGGCTTTCAGCAAGAAAATTTCTCCATTAAATTAGATGATATTACAGTCGGTAAAGAGAGCTTCTTCCACCAATACCTTGCTATGAGGGAGATTGATCCATTAGATGTGCTGGGGCAAAATCCAGATTCTATTTTTGGTAAATTTTGCAGGAGCAAATACTTAGTGGTGGTTCATCCGAAGATGGAAGCTTCATTCTTTGGGAACTTAGATCAGCGAAATTATGTGATGGGAGGTGGACACCCTAGGACTCCATTTTACCAAGCCTTCTTAAAACTGGCCAAGTCAATCTGGCTTCTGCACAGGCTGGCTTACTCTTTTGAGCCTAATGTAAAACTCTTTCAGGTTAAAAGGGGGAGTGAATTCTCAGAGGTTTATACGGAAAGCGTGGTAAAGAATTTCGTGATGGTTGAAAATGATCAGAAGCCAAAGGTTGGACTAATGGTTATGCCTGGATTTTGGATTGGGAGCAGTGTGATTCAGAGTCGAGTTTATCTCTCTGGAATGAAGGTTGATGAATAATTTTCCTTTCCTGATATATCTCTGCCCCAATTATGGAATTAATCTTAAATATCGGCTAGCTGTGTTTGCGTTGTCATTTTCGATTTTGTTCTCGTAGTAATGTAATTGTATCTTGACATATAATTAGCTCTTCATCTTTCTTGACCAACAACTCTCTTTCAGCGTTTCATTTCATATGGTGATCCTTTCATCTCTTTTTCTTAATGCTACACTGGAGGCCAGCTGGTGAAAACAACCATATGTATATATATATGCGAGCAGGTCAACTTCTCTCTCCCTCTCCAATATCCATCTTTGCCTCTTCCCTTTACGTGACTGAAAAAAATTATAGATTGCTTTAAGAAAAATCTCAGTTTAATTAAAGGTGGCAGAGAAAGAAACGTCTTTGCTCCATTCCACGTTAGATGTAAGGGCAAGTTTCAAGTTTTTATGCATAATATATAACCAGGATAACCTGAGGCACAGCCTGGTTAGAATATAAATCAAGCACAACAAGGTTTGGTCTCAGCGTCACGAGCTTAAGAGAGATATCCTGTAGTTGGTGGACAAGTACTTGTAAATTACATGTCAAAAGACGAGAATGTTCATCATAGAATCACAGGTTGAGCTATTTGGAAAAAAGATGGGACCTTTGATTGAGTTTGTGGTTTGTTTTTCCTGAGGAACCAATCACGCCTTCACATGATGGATGAGTTCAACTACAAACTAGTTAACCGTACAATCAATGAATTTTTAATCAAAGTTGCTGTGAGTTGTGATCTCTTAACCTGAATTTAGGGATCCTGCTGGTCAATTTAACAGGCTGACATCTATAATATTCTCTGCCGCGGCCGTGGCCGCTGCCGCTGCCTACTCTTCCCACTTCTCAGCCCCAAGTGGCTGTTTTAGACCCAAAAGTAAACGCAATCCACAGCACAGAGATAAAAAAGTACCTTTCCTTCTCAATTGAAATCAGATCAGACCTCATAAACGTAGACGCAAAATATCTGAAAAGACATTCCTCGCGTGGGCATTGGCCGATCCATGAAGGCTTCGAATGTTTTTATACGGTCAACTACAACTGTCGGTCCATCTAAACATTACAATGGACAACTCTATACTGCATGCTTACCGTTGGTCTAACATTACAATATATTTGGCATACAATTAATTAATTAATTACTCTTACTCAGTTTAATGCACGTAATCTGCACGTTAGGGCCTTGTGTGCATGTGGCAACATTAATTCCTATATAAACCATCTTCTTCCGTTGCATTTCTTCAAGGAAAAAGGGAAATTCTCTGGTTAATTACTAACAGCTTAATCAGTTTCCATGGCTAAATTCAGCTTCTCCTTGGCACTCCTCTTCGTATATGTCTTATGCATAATTGGCACGGTCGAGCCAGGGAATCCTAGAGGGAGACAGTCCCGGGGCAGGCCTTACATCGAGGCTTGCCAAGGCACGCGCTTTCCAGACCTATGCATCCGCTGCCTCTCCGGCTTTCCCAACTCCACCATCCAAAACCCACAACAGCTAGCTCAAGTCGCTTTGTCCGTGAGCCTGTACCGGGCTCGTCACACCAGGTCCTTTTTGCTTGATGTGGCCAAGCAGTTAGAGAGGATGAAGGCCCGGGAATACCCAACCGTGAAAGATTGCCTGCAACAGATAGACGACAGTGTTTTCCAACTCAGTCAATCAATCAGGGAACTCCGCCGGATGGAGACAGCACCCGTGAGCGACGACTTCTTCTGGCACATCAGCAACGTCGAGACATGGACCAGCGCCGCCCTCACTGATGCCAGTACTTGTCTTGACGAGTTTCCGGCAGGTCGGAACACGAGCAAACTGAAGGCCACCATTAAGGGCAAGGTCCTGAACGTGGCACAGGTTACTAGTAACGCTCTTGCCTTGTTTCACCGCTATGCTGCAAAATATCAAACAAAGACAAATCCATAAGCCAACAAGAAACTTGGAATGGATCAGTCTTGTTCTTTTTTTTTTTTGGCCATACATATCAGTCTTGCTCTTTGTTATGGTTATTAAGTTTGTTTAATATTTGTCCGGCCTACTTGATAATTGTACCATAGATAAGTCTTTTTTTTTTTTTTTTTTTTTTTTCAAGACTGTTAGTGTATTCCAAGTTAACTTGTGAGTTCTCTCTAATTCATCTTAAACTCATATAGATAAATATTGAAATATAAGTGTCAAAAATATTGAAAACAAATGAATATGGATCAAGTTTGTTTTTTCTATTGTACTTAATTAGTTATGTATTAATACATGAAACGTGCATAAATCATCCAACTTTTAGTAAATTTACTTGCTGAATTTGCACCCTTCTTCTAAACTAAATTAAGTTCAAGCTGTGGCAAATTCCGTGGCAAGGCATTCTTCTAGTCGTTGAATATTAAAATTAATAAATAATTAAAATCTAAATGAGAGCAGCAACTCCGTTGTAGTCTAGCTGGTCAGGATATTCGGCTCTCACCCGAAAGACCCGGGTTCGAGTCCCGGCAACGGAAATTATGATCCCTTTTTATTGCTTTGTTCTATTTAAGATTTTAAGGCCCACACTCTACCAGCCCACTTTAAGTTTAAAGCCCAAAACTCAAAATCATGAATTCACGATGTCAATAAGTCCAGCAAGTACATCGAATAATTTGAAGTCGCATTTCATTTTCGGACTTCCCTCAAGCCCAGTGTGCATGTGTGCCTCCGGAAGACGGACTGCTCCTTTTATATATATATATATAACATATTTTTGTTTGATTTTCAAAATTTTGACACCCCATTCCCACTCTCAAGTCTCAAATTCTCATAGGTTAAATATTAATTTTGATATCTCAACTTTAAGATTTTACATAATTTTTATTTTTTAATTTTTTTTTGATATTTTTTTATCCTTTAATTATAAAAAATACACTCTTTTAATCTTTCGTTAGTTAATCTATTAAATTTATTTAAATCTACATATATTTAGTCCATCAACTTTAAGTTAAGAGACAAAAAATATATATATATTAGAAGTTAAGGGGTTAAAAATATACAAAATAAAATAGATTTAATGGATTAATTGACAAAATGATTACAAAATTATATTTTTCATACTTAAGGAACTAAAAAAGTATAAAAAAAAAAGTCAAAGTATGAAAATTATGCAAAGCCTTAAGTTGAGGGACCAAAATTGGCATTTAACCATTCTCAAACTAAAGGGGGAAGTATTTAGAAGGTTCGTCTCCCTCTCCTAATTCAAAATTATTCCTCTCTTCCTCCCTAGACTGTAGCAGTATCGCGGGAAGAGAAGAGCAGGGTCTGAACTCTGCAGGAAGAAATGGAGGTTGCAGTGGACAGAGTAGACTACAAGCACGACAAAACGGAGACTGTTCTGTAGAGACACTTTTTTGCAGGATTGGAAACTCATCTAGTCGCTTCTCGACGACATGTTTTCCGATGGCCGCATCTCCGATCTCACCGCCGTCCACAAGATCTGATCCATTGTATTCCTCCTCTTTTACTTCCATTTCTATCGGTTTTCTTTCGTTTTCAGTATTTTTGGATTCAATTTGAGCATTAGATTAACTTGCAGATGGATCAATGTCAGAAGGAAGGCCATATCGTAGAGCCTTACCTGGAACGCATGGTTTCCCCTTTGATGTTTTTCGTTAGATCCAAAACGATCGCACTATGTGCCGATTCTGGTGAGATTTTTGAAATGATCAAGCAGATATGCCTCCTTATCTATGGTCTCGTTACATTTTGCTGATACAAGGCCGTTAACAGGTTCTTTCCTCATCAAGTTTCAGATCTAGAGCTCGCGGTATCTCTCCTGAGAACACGGCTTCGCTCACGTTATTGCAGCAGGAAAGTACGTTGTTCTTTTGTGGCTTTCTGTTTTCGTTTCCATTCCTTTTGATATATCATCGATTGATACTTGCATTTAGCAGTAGTCTTGTTGAGCACACGAGTTGGCTCCTCTAGTGTTAAGGATACTAGCGTTTTCTAAGAATTACCTTTCAAATTCCGGCCCTATGCGCACAATGGCGGCCTTAGTTCTCTCCAGGCTTCTAACTCACCTGATATGCCTTAAGGCTTTTACCAGGTTTCTTTCTGTCACATATTATGCTAAAGTCCAACCTTGTTCTCCTGATTTAGAGCACTTATTTCTTTTCATTTTTTTCCAGTTTTTTTAGTGGACTCATGAGGTGTTATTAACTTATAATTTAGAATAGATTATGTCATCAATCATTTCTGGTTACTTGGTGCCATGGAAGAACTTGCTGCTGTTTTTGAGGTTTGCATTTTTATACTATTGAGTCTCTATTATTGTTATTATTATCATTATAAATAGATTATTGTTTGAACTAGTAATCTATGTTTATGAGAATTTGTTGTCCAAATTATTTTTCCCTCTATGTATCAAGTTAAAGGATGGCATTACTGCACTTAATATTATTTGAACCAGTAATCTAAGTTTATTCTTTTTAATAATTCTCTTCTTATGTTTTTGTTCTTTAGCACTTCTTTCTATTATTTTCATTTACAAATTAATTACCATCCATATTGTTTAGCAAATTACTGCTTACCACATTGACCTATTTGGATCTCATTTCTGCTATTTACAAAAGCTAGAATGGCAGCAGGAAATTGCTGCTGGAGGTGGTGCTGAGTTTTTGGCATGATGTCTCTGCGATTATAAAAGCAGGTACTGCAGCTATTAGTTCTCTGCATTGCAAGTTTTTGGTAGAGTTAACTGAGCGAATTGGACTTGCCTCCCTCATCGCAACCCATTCCTTGCATTATGCAGTCAGTATTGTTAAATCTTCAATTTTTGAATTCTGAAAAGTTGAAAGTTTCTTGAGAGGAACCATAGAGGTCTTTTGTGTGTGCTCTATTGCTTACTATATGAGAATCCACTTGACCTTCTCTTTTAGTTTCTTATGTTCAGGAGCATTTTTCTTGTGAAACTAGCATTTTCAAGTGTGCTCACGTCAAAGAGAAATATAAGCATTTTTCTTGTGAAACTTGCATTCTCTGTTTGTTGATGCTTTCCATGCAGCAGAACCAGCTCACTTGGAGAGAATATTTCTGTGAATGCAACCAACAGAAATTATCAATTAAATTATAGTCCGGCTCTTGACAACTCCAAGTTGGAATTGAGTACCGAGTACCTTAAAGATGATGATGTGGATGTTCCAGAGATTTTGGAAGAGATTATTGAGATGTTACTTTCACGTTTGAAAGACATGATATGTGTTCAGGTTGAAATTCTGTTCATTAATTGATTATCTTCTTTTGAAGAACTAAGTGGTTCATAATAAATATTTGGAATTTTGGATTGATGTTGCTGTAATAATCAAACATCATTTATCTCAAATTTGATACAATTCAGTTTAATATAGAGCGGGGTCTGCTATATGAATTCTTGTTGAACCAAATTACTTCCCACAAGCATAAAAACTGGCAGGAGCCCCTTCTTTCTTCTTCAAATTTGCAATGAATAATCCAGTTGAACTCCTCATAGCAAAATCATTTTTAATGTAAAGAATGTCTAGATTTCTCTTAGAGGTCTCTGTTGATTTGATGATTAGGGTTTTGGAATGTAGGATCGGTTTGTGCATTGGCCTGCCACAAAGGGTATTGGTCATGTGACTTCACATGTTACATCTAGTCTCCCAGAGGAGGTCTTGTCATCTGTATTGGAGCTGTTTTCACCAAGCAAGGTATACCAATCCATTTTATAATACATTTTTTCCATATACTTTACCACCATATTTTATAATACATTTTTTCCATTGCTTCTTTTATTTTTCTTGATTCCTTTTTTTATGCTTAGACCTTTGAGTCATTCTGAAATGTCAGAATTTTCTGGGGAGAATGTTCATGGCATGATGGCTGCTTGGCATTGGTTTTAATTGACATGTAGAGGCTTGCTATTACGAAGAAGTTTTCCCAAAGTTCTGTCTCCCCCTTTTGAAGGGTGAGTTGTTCACAGTTTAGTTTAACTATTGCAAATTTTCAATTACTAATATGCCATACTCCTACACTGTCATGAGATTTTATCACTAATGGCCATTATGTGTCTTGGGTTGCCTTAATCGTTGTCTTTAGGAGGCAAGGGTCAAGAAGCTTGTTGATTAAGTGTATCCTTCTTCGCAGGCATTACATTATGATATTCAAATAGGTCCACATAATGTTGGATCTCATGAAGTTGATGCCACTGCCTCTCGGTTCTCCAGCACCAGCAGTACAAGTGTTGTGATAGGGCAATTATGCCCACCCTAAAGGTAAGCAACCTCTTCCTACAAATAGAAAGCATCATCCTTTACAAATATAATAGATAGAGATTATGATCAGGATGCAACCTTGTGCCTGTATGCTATTTTGGTATTATGTGCCTCACTTCTGCTGCAATTGTGACTGCCAGAGTCGTTAAACTATGTGTCTTTTATTATTATTCTTTTAAAGAAACACCTTCTTTTATCTGGTTTAGCAGCTTTCTAATGCAGTGTCTACTGACTTACTCTGTCTGGCCACAGCTGTACAACTTCTAAGAAATAATTGAAAAAACAAAAGATGTCCAGATAATATAATTCTCTTTCTTCTGTTGGTCCATCCCTGCTCTTTGTAGTTTTTATACCTGAGCTGAGATGCAGAGGATTTACTCACGTATCTAATTAGAAATATCTGGAAGTGTGAAATGTTTTGGTTGGGACTATCAACTGAGAAATTGTGGATAATTATGTTAGTCTTTTTTCGGATAATCAATTTGGGCATATACCATACAGACTTCTTTTTGTTTTTTCATGTTTTTTTTAATCCGTATAGACCATAGAGAGTTCTGAAGCCCAATAAGTTCAACTTTAAAATGGGGAGCTTAGAGTTCTCAAACCTAACTTTCTGTAACTGGCCATTCATCTGGCATATTTGCATTAGGCTGGCTAAGGTTAGCTAGAAACCAGGATCCTTGAAACATAAATTTTAAGTTAAGTAGGAAAATAGGGATATTCAATTCATTGGTAATGTTATTTATTTCCTACTTATATTTTCATATTGGTGTCTGTATTTCAGACGATGGAGATCCTTTTCAGCAAGAATATATTATTGACCATGGAGGTTAGTTGAGGCTGTTGACCCCACCTTCTCCCCCACACCCCCCTCCCACAAAAAAAAAAAAAAAAATCCTCCCCAACTCGTTTACTGCAATATCTTACAAGCTATTATCTAATCTTTGTACCCTATCACCCATAAAAAATAAAATCAACTTGCATTCTAGAAGCAAAAATATGTACTCTGTGTTCTAAGTTTCTTTCCTCAATTCAAAGCATTATATCATAATCATTCTTGCTTTTTTATTTTTTTCTCCCATGAATCCTCACATGTAGCTCACTTAAAAGTAACGGTGATAATAGAATTATTTTGGACTTTTCTTTTACCAGATCTGTAAAGCTTCAGCTGTACAAGTTTATCTAATGCTCTGGCAAAATGGAAGTCTTGTGATGGAGGACAACATGGAGAAAGCACTTGAAATTATTTCTGAAACTTTTAGGATGGTGACGTAGAAACAGCAAACCAGCAAGAGTTGGAATTGTATGCCACAGCTGGTCCTGGCACTGGGCCATCGAAGGCCGGTAACAAGGGTATCAATGAACGATGGTGACAGGAAGCTCGCAACAGCAGATAAGAATGCATCTTAATCTTCTTCGGTCATTATCCGGCTCCTTATTGCCTGAATTGAGTAAGGTTAGTTATCTGCTCTATAGTTTTCAAGTTTGAATTTACTCAGCTATACTTCGTCAAAATTAAAATAGGGAAAATTTATTAAAAAAAAAAAAAAGAAAGAAAGGTGGGGGGGGGATGAAAGCTGTAGGGACAATTGCTAGGGTTAAAACTTAAAAGTGCTAAGTTCGTTTGGGCTCAACAATCAACAGATAAACGAAAACTGAGTATTCCGTCAACCATGTCTAACTCTTCGATCTTCGAACTTGAAAATGTTCAGACCGTGTTTGGTTGCATTTTCAGTATTTTCGTAAAAACACCATATCAAATTATAACAAAAAGTTATAAATGTTTAATGATTTTTTCGAAAAAAATTGCATATATATAATTACCAGTAAAATATATTAAATATTAATTAAATTAATTTAATATAACGAAATTGCATTTTTAATGAGAATTTATGAGTAGGTGGATGAGTTGGTAGGGAATTCTTTCAATTTAATCAAAGGTTTTGATTTAAAATCTTAAAAATGCAGTTTCGTTAAAATTTGTGAAGAAGAATTTTATTGTTTGTTAGGTTATGTTCGGTTCAAAACAGAATTAGTCGATGGTTCAATGGATTTTCGGATACTGGATGATCTATATTTGAGGAAAAAAAAAAAAAAAACCAACTGACAAACGTAGACCAGAACTTCCTAACTAATTAGGGTACCATTTACAATATTGTGGATTGAATTTGGTGTTGGGAAATATCGTATGAAAGACGGACAAATGCCTTTGCTTCCACATCTTGATAATTTTTTTGCAAAGGAATTTTAACTGGGCCTTAGAAATTTTTTCCTATAATTTTTTTCCCCAAAATGTTACATTATTATTCTCTCTATCCTAAAATAAATATTTGTTAAAATATTTTATCTTTTAATTAAGATTTGAGATAATTTATGTTTTTATTTATGTTATACTTAAAAAAGGGAAAGGTAAAAGAGAATTTTTTTTATATATAATAAAATAGATAATTAAAGTCCAAAGGATAATAATCACAAGGTTAAAGAAAAAAAATATTTATTCTTATAAAACATAAAAAGTTTTTTTTTTTTTACAAAAGTAATAGTTAGAGGTTAGTAAGGTTAGAATTGTTAATGAGAGGTATTGAACCTAAACAATGATGCAATTCATCGACTACTTTTTTGGGCAGCAGGGACCACAATCATAGCAGGAGAATGCGAGAAAAGATGGAAATTGAATTTCACATCAAAGTTAAGATGTCTTTTAACCAATGATTAAGTGGTCACTTGGGTCACATGGGCTTTTTTATAAAATATAAAAAGTTAATACTTCTTTTATTAACAGAATTAATAAATGAGACTGCAATAAATGAGATTGCAATAAATGAGATATAAGGGCATAAATTAGAACATCTCTTAGAAAAAATAAAACGGAGAGAGAAGAAGAATGGATTTTTTTGACTACATAAATTATATTATTTATGAATATTATAATTTGATTAGTTAAAAAAACTATCATTTTTTATTTTTTCCAAACCATTCATATGCTTAGAGTAAGAATAAAAATAATTATTTTATGTGTGCAAAAGTTAAACACACTTAAATTATATTTAATTTTGAGAAAAATAAAGGAGAGAAATGATATTTTTAATTAATTAAATTATAATATTAAAAAATAATGTAATTTGATTAGCAAAAAAATTTATTTTTCTTGTCTCTTCCCTCAAAATAAATATATAATCGTATATAGAATTATGATTATATATTTAAATTTATTAAATTACAAAATTTTAAATCAAAATAATAAAAAGAGACATGAATTCTTCAATATAATTTAATTTACTTCATCTACAACTAATTCAGTTCAAATTGAAAACTCATCTTCTATTAAAGTCAACATCTTTTCTCGTAAAATTTTTAATGTTGCATTTTTAAGTTTATCAAATAGCACACGCATAAACATGTTTTGAAATTCGAATAAAGGAATCCCGTGTCAAAAATAGGTTCATGGATTCACCACGGCGGCATA